ATATGAATTTGTTTGTAATCGTTTGTGTACGGGAGTGAAACCAAGTCTGCAAGAAACAATCAGGACACAACTTTACCAGAATTGTAACTTCTTAAAGCCTAATATGTATTTTTACGATGGCCTTCTTTTGGAAAAGCATTTACTTAGCATTTAGCAGTGACCGAGTTTCAAATCCTGTGGTTAAATCCAGTGCTACCTCCACATTTCAACTTTCCTGAGCCTTCAAACTGTCTACGGTTGACTTTTTATTTTTGTACAACTATTTCTGTGGTAGTTTGTGGTTAAACTTTAAAAGAACCTGTAATGACAACCTGCATCATGTCAAATGGACAAAGCCTCCACCTTTATACACATCAGTGCAATAAGAATTAATACAAGAGTTATTCTATTGTTTATCATTTGGACCAATTCTGTACGAGGTCTGAGGGCCAAGAAAAATGGATTTGTGGGCCACATTTTGCTCGCAGGCCATCGTTTGGACACCCCTGTTTCATCTGGATTAGATTTTATTTAAGTCAAGTTTTGAAATAGAATTAATTTATTTAGTCAAGTCATAGAATTGTTTCTGTTGTCAGTAAGATGCAATTTCAATTTTACTACAAATTTGAAGGTCAAATTGTTCTTTTGAATTTCAATTTACAACGAAAAACTATAAAATGGGAAAACAGTTTATTTCATTTTTCAGTTTTAGTGTCAAACAAAAACCAGAATGTGAGTGTAATCCCTCACTCATCCACCAAGGTTCCACATGACAGGAGAGTCCACACTTTTCTAAAGATCATTTCATCATTTATGGTTTGATCTGATTTATAACTTGGCCTTGTAGAGTCTCTTGCTTTTTTGGAAATGGGCATGTTTAACACTGGGCTCTAGAAATTCCAAGCAAAACAAAAAACCTTTTCATGGAAAGGAGCAGTTGGTGCAAGTTACACACCGCACCTTTAAGTGTCACATTCTGCTATTTATTAATTTATTTATTTATTGCAGCTGAAAATATTGTACATTTAGAATACTTTGCAGAGAATAATGATGCTTTAGGGTCATTCTGTGAGAGTGTGATGCTAACTGTAGGCACTGCTCTGTGTGAGGCTTTTATTAGACTTTAATCTGAGTTTTATTTTAACACAATCAGCCACAATAAACTGACTGAGCTGGAACTACAACAGCTGAGCTGATTTGTGCTGTTAAACAAGTTTCTTCCACATAACATTTGTTTTTCACTTAGTCCCTCTCACCTTTTGTTGAAAATCTAAACAGACTGATCCCCGGCTCCTGAAAGTGTTTTAAAATCAATTGAATCAATATTTTGTATTGAGTTTGAAGCAGACTTAAAACTTTTGGACTGTGTTTGCTAACGTGTGCTTTGTGTCACCATGATAATGATGCAGAACTAGTGTGACCAGTCGTCCTTATTTACCCAGGACAGACCCACTTTTGAGCCTGTGTCCCCAGTCCCAGCGGATTTATCCAAAACCAAAGAACTGTCTCAGTTGTCCCTGTGTTTGACCAGTCTGACCCCTGACAACAGTAAAGAGAAACATAAACTGTCATTTGTTTTGGTAAAATACAGAAAAGTTGCTTAAAAATGACCAAAACACAAAGAATGTGACTCTACTGACTCACATGAATGCAGAACAGTTTTCCATCATTATGCACTTGTTTTACAGTTTTATTATGACCAACCACAAACCAGGGACGTCCCAGTGTTTTATTTTGAAAATGTGGTCACTTTATGCAGAACATCTTGTGAAGTATCAATGACTGTTTATCTATTGTATATTTGTCTGTACTGACTTGAAAATGTATCATCGTGTCAGGTGTGTGTGCAGTGAACACGTACACACACAGATCGTGATTTGAACATGTGATCCATTCAACTCTCCACATAATTATTTACCAAAAACATGAAAACTGTGAGGAAACTGTGATGGAAATGTAGATTGTGGAAAGATTTCTCTCAATCTGTCTTTGTATGAATAAATGTGATTTCTACCTGCAGGGTTCACACGGTCATGGAAATCCTGGAAAAGTCATGGAAATTGAAAATGTTATTTTTCAGGCCTGGAAAAGTCATGTAATTTTGTTAATCCAATGAAAGTTTTGGGAAAAGTCGTGGAATTTTAGTATCTCTTTCACACAACTCCAGTGTTCTGTTAAATTCTCATGAGTCTGTTGTGATTATTTCTGAACGTTTACATCTTTTGTTTAAAAGAGACGACAATAAATGCACTGACAGGATTTTAAATGTTCAAAAACTATAATCCCAAACCATAAAGTGAGTGGAAAGAGTTAACTATTCAGATTTAGCCCTAAAAGTCTGATCAGTTCCACACATGTAGGTGCTGTAAAGTCATGGAAAATTCATTTTAGGTCATGAAAATATTTTGAAATCTTGTTAGTGAAAAAAAGTGTGAACCCCGCACCACTGACCAGAGCATCGTTCACATTCACATGTATAAAAGCTCAGCAGACACAACTGTCCACACCATCAGGAAAATGCTGATTATGATTGATTACATTAAAATAGTGATTAGTTTATCTTTTAGAAACACATTTGGTCTTTTAACTCAAACTCATTTGGTTTGGTAAAGACAGTGTTTGAAAAATCCTTCAGTGTAAACACTTCTGTTCCTTTTGCTTGTTAATCTCGTCAGGAAGTGACACGTGAATATGGAGCAGATCAGATCAAACACATCTGGCCACACCTCAGCAGGAGTCGACACCTTCTCACTTTGAAATGTACGTTTTCTGGTCTCAGTGGATATAAACTTGGTGCTTTTGGATCATTGGGGGTTTGTTGTTGGAGGGACACAGGTCTAGGCCCCATCGACATCTGCTGTAACCAGAATAAACCTTTGTCTGTATTCCAAAAACCCATCGAGAGTCGCAAATGGATTAATTATTTATCATCGAGAGATACATAATTTTTTCCACAACAAAACCACAAATATTTCTTGAGCTCAGTTTTCCAGTGAGGCGTGTTTTCGTGTTGTGGATATTATGAACATTACAATCTTCTCAGTAAAAGAGCAGCAGCACTTTCTTACCACAAGGACAGTTACATAATGTGAACTCACACCAAAGAACCACAGCACACAGCTCCGATATTTCCATTTTACTATATTAATGAACAAAATCTATAAAATATCTCACAAAAATACAATACAGAATTAACATAGATCTCTGAAAACACCATCCTTCTGTTACATTTATACTGTTGTGCTTTTACTTTCATACAATTATAAATAACACTTTAAAATGACATGCAAATCCTGTTTAAATCTTGTTTTTTTTTATAAAAGTGGTTTGAAAATCTCAGTCAGTCAGTCCCTTGTTTCTGTGCAGAGAGAGGAGCAAAAAACAAGTTGTTATTGAAGCAGGAGAGCTCCCCGTTCGCTCCGTTTGATTGGTCGCCGGGCAAAAAACAAGCCTCAAGTCCCGCCCACAGGAACCGGTGACGCAGGCTCCTTCCTCCCACCTCCCCCCCCCCACTGGCTGCCTCTGTATTTCTCTCCTCGTGGCTCTTCTCTCTGCTGCCACCACCCCCCCTCCCCTGTCAGCCTGTCATGATGCATTAAGCTCCGAGCAGCCAGAGCAGAGGAGGGAAGGCAAAGGAAGTCATGGCTCCACCAGATTTCAGCGCGTTTACATAAGCACAAATGTAGTGTTTTAGCAGTAAAGCTTGAGCACGAAAGCGAAACGGTCAAATATAAACCATAAACCGGCCAATGAAGAGGTTCAGTTTGATCAGTAGTAAGGCACAGAGTTGAAGAGATGGCGGGTTACTAAGATTTCAAGAGGAAATGAAAGATTTTTAAATTAAATCAAATAGCAGGAAACAGTCGAGAGGCTGACTGTGTAAAGATGGACAAAGCAGCTAAAAAATGACAAAACAATTCTTATCAATGGATATTTTAAGTCTGTGTCATTTCTTCTTTTGAATTTCAATTAAGAAGGAAAAACAATCAAATGTGAAATCAGTTTCTTATTTCATTATTTTGTTTAAGTGTCAAACAAAGAAAAAAAACAGATTTCAACTTCAATTTCCAATATTTAATTTAAAGTTTATTCCAAATAACAATCAAAAAACAGTCTCGGTGTCTATTTCAATTTGGATATTTTATTCTCTCTGGTTTATGTAAGATTTATCGCCTCGCTGCTTCCTGTTTCTCGTCATGGAGTTCAACAATAACTTCCTAAGATGTGAAAATAAACACGACGCTGTAAAAGAAGAAACATGTTTGTCAAATAAACAAGAGAGAATAAAATATCTCAATTAAAATAGGCACAGAGTTTTTGATTGTTATTTGAAATAAACTTTAAATTAAATATTGGAAACAAAGGTCGAAATTAGTTTTTTGTTTGTTTGACACTAAAACTGAATAATGAAATGAACTGTTTTACCATTTTATAGTTTTTCGTTCTTAATTGAAATTCAAAAAAACAAACGGCACACAGACTATCTGACCTTCAAATTTGTGGTCAAACTGAAATTGCATCTTACTGTCAACAGAAACAATTCCATGACTTGACTAAATAAATTAATTCTATTTCAAAACTTGACTTAAATAAAACCTAATCCAGATGACTACCTTTGAAACCTTTGTTAACGTAAAACAGGGGTGTCCAAACTATGGCCCGCGGGCGAAATGTGGCCCGCAAATCCATTTTTCTTGGCCCTCAGACCTCATACAGAATTGGTCCAAATGATCATAGTAGTAATGTAAGTGTTTGTACAACTATAACTTTGATAAGACGTCTAAAAGTAGTGCTCCAAACCTTTTTCTAGGTACGAGGGCTCTGTCAAACCTCTGTAAAAGTATCATAAAGACTTGCTGTTTTGTATTGATCATCCTTCACTACAAATAAGTTTGCATTTGAGAAAAGTTTGGACGCCCCTATAGTACAGAACGCAGGTGGATGAGTGAGGGATTACATTGACATTTTGCTCGTGTAATGAGTAAAAGTGCACTCGGATAAACAATAGAATAACTCTTGTATTCATTCTTATTGCACTGATGTGTATAAAGGTGGAGGCTTTGTCCATTTGACATGATGCAGGTTGTCATTACAGGTTCTTTTAAAGTTTAACCACAAACTACCACAGAAATAGTTGTACAAAAATAAAAAGTCAACCGTAGACAGTTTGAAGGCTCAGGAAAGTTAAAATGTGGAGGTAGCACTGGATTTAACCACAGGATTTGAAACTCGGTCACTGCTAAATGCTAAGTAAATGCTTTTCCAAAAGAAGGCCATCGTAAAAATACATATTAGGCTTTAAGAAGTTACAATTCTGGTAAAGTTGTGTCCTGATTGTTGTCTTGCAGGCTCCTCTTCAGTCCAAACCACATTAAAATACATATTAAATAGAAGCTGCCGGAGAGATGTTGTTCTCCCAGTGATTATAAAAACAGATTCACGACATAAAGGCCCAAAACGGTGGCCGATACATGCAGTCCAAAAGTGATCAGATTTATAAATTAATGTCCCAAGAGAAAAAAACTGCAGTTTGTAGGTGATTTCATTCATAAATAAACATATAAATAAAGGCAACCAGTCATTCCAAGTCTGTGTAGCCATCCCATAATAGTCTTTGGTGTTAAGTCCCTGTGTTCAACTTCTCCGAACAGCGTTAAGTTCATCAGCGCCGTCTTCTGAAAATGCTGTTTCATCCCAAAGGTAAAGAAGGGAAGCTGAATTTTCAATCGTATTAAACCAGAGACAAAGAATCTCTCAATAGATCGAAATACAGTAGGCGTGTGTCTCTGCGAATTCTATAAAAAATGGCTTTTAGGAAATTGTTTTCGAGATGCGAGGCTCCATCTGCATTTGAGATTCAGACAAGATTAAACGGTGAATCATGACATAGTGCAGGATTTCATAGAAGCTGTTGTATAAATGTGACTAAATACAAATAAACAGTGATTAGTGCTGCCCAGTTAGCCACGTTAATTATCAAAACACATTAACTGAGACATTGCTACTCTAGTTGTAAAAATGCTACCTTTTGTTTAGCTTTTTTTTTTTGCTACGGAACACTGCAAATCGACCCCAGAACCCCACGGTAAGAAGGCAGAGCTAATCTCAAAAATGACTCCCAGAAGTGTTATTTAGAGACGCACATTACTGCCTCCCATATTGCATAACTAAGTGTCATTACAGGTGTAAAAATACAGAGAGAATACAAAAAAATATTAAAAACCTGTCTGTGTCACAACTTCATTTTGTTACATAATGCGCTCGTCTGCTCCAAAGGTTTTCTGGAACAGCCCGATTTTCAATTTCAGATTTTTAAAGCCGAAATTAAGATGAAGGGAGACAAGAGGAGGTAATACTAAGCCTTAATCATTCTTAATCAACTATTTGTACATTATGAATTAAGTCTGATGATGATGATTGGAACGTATTAAACAGATGAAGCCTTGCAAATCGAAAAACCATATTATCAATACTTCTGTTTGACTTCTCTTCGGGGATATCAGGACTTGACTAGTATCTCCATAATGTGGTCCAGTTCGTTCAGATCTGAGATACAGGACTGCAGCGCCCCCTGCTGTTTCACTTTAACATCCTCGTCGGCCCACAGAGACATACCGTTGGCCCACGCGGAGGACAGATCTGATGTCTCATACATGGAAGTGTCTATGTCCTCGAAAATATCATCCAGGGCCAGATCGCTGAGGTAACCCATAGCGCTCACTGCGTCGCTAAAGGCGCTAATCGTTTTTGGATCGTTTAAGGTCGCCTCTTCCTGATTGGACAGTTCAGGAAGCAGAGAAAGGCTGTCGATGTCTTCTTCTTCAGTACAATCAGGGCAGGTTACAGCCATGTCCTCTTTCATGCTATCCCTGAGAAGATGGGACTCGCCGTGGCTAAAGATGTCCTCCCCGTCGCTCTGCATCTCCTCCTGCAGTTGCCGTAAAGTGTTGATGAGCAGAACGGAGCGTCTTAAGCTGAGCTCCACTCCGGCCTGCAGCTTCTCCAGACACAAGCCCAGCACCACCTGCCTCTGCTGGGACTTAGAGGGAGCCGTGACGGGCCCCTCTGGAGGCGAAGAGCCATCGGAGACATTCGGGTGTGGTTTGTCCTCCGTGACCCCGGGGGCAGCAGGGAGGCCCTCCAGCTCCTCCTCCAGACAACTCCACTTTCGTTTGACGCCGCGACCCAACATCGGCCTAAACGAAAAAAATAAACAAACATAAAAATCTAATCTCATCCTTGTGACGATATTTTAATGTTCAAATCAAATTAGGATTCAGTGATTCTCAGTTGATCAGCAGCAGTCGCCACAGTGAATTTTAACAAACAGAAACAGTCAAGAACAGATCAAAAAACTAAGTATATAAGAACAAAAGTTTGAAATCATGTCAGATTTGATAAAGGTGCACTATGTCACTTTTCTAGTGCAGGGTCCATCCATCTACTTGTCTCCATGGACATGTAAATGTTTTGTCTAGAATGTTCCACAGTATGGCATTAAACTTGTCTATCCCAAAGATACAGAACAACACATGGCCAAGAAGCCAAGTTACACATCAGGGCTGTGGAGAGGAGAGCTCGCTCAGAGTAAGAATGCATGTTTTTGAAGGTATTTTCAAGCAAGTTTAAAGCCATACTGTGGAACATTCCAGCCAAAGCAAAAGCATCTCCAAGGAGACAAGCGAGCGATTGACCTTCCTGCAGAAAGTTCCATAGTGCATCTTTAAACAAAGCTGAGAAAAGAATGATTGTTTTGATGGTGTATTCCCGCTGGAGCCATTGGGGTGTGCAGTGACTTCACTGGCTGAATATGACTAAAGCACATTCCTCTGTCCCTCCTCCTCCTCTGTGACTCACCATGTGCTGGCCTTTACTCATCTGCACAGACGGGGCTGGGCTCTACCTGTCTGCTCCCTGCTCACCTGTTCTACACACGAGTACATGTGCTTTTGCTTTCAGAACCACATTTACACTAAGAATGCAAGAAACAATCCAATCCACTTCAGTGGATGTGATTAGACAATGTTTGTGCATAAACTGCTCAGGCTGCACTTGAGATCTGCACAAACATGTTCTGAATGTGATTCTTGTGTTTGTCAGTTCCAGGGAAACATTTGGGATGATCAGAGTTCTGACATGAACAATGTAGTGCTATGATCACGAGCTATATGAAACTTCCATGTCATTATTGCAATTCAGCTTCAAATTCAAAAGATTCAAAACATACAACATTTTATTTATCGCTCTGCCAACACTCCTCATTTTTCATCATTCTGAAAAACATAGACAGGGAGTGTTGATAGAGAAGTAAAAAAATGTAAATTGTAAATAAAACGTTACTACCCACGTCTGGCAATGAACAAAGGCACTACTACTACTACTACTACTACTACTACTACCCAAACTAAAACAACAAACCATCAGAAGTAGTTTTTATTGCAGTACTTACTAACTGGGCCGTACACCTTAAATCATTTAGTTGATGAATCGCCCAATGCTGCATTAGTCAAACTTTTTTTTTAATTTACTGTCTAATGAATGATTTTATTGGGATTATAAAGACTTATATGGACTAGAGTAGAAAGGAGAGGCCATTGAGTGAGTTAGCTGGAGTTTTGCACTGACTGGACAGTTTAATCTGGCTTTTGACTAATGAATACACGATTCTCTTGTACTGCTCTGTATTCGTTGTAGTTTTTGCATGAGATCCTGACCGTTTGGACCCCCTTTTAATTAATCAATTAATCAATGCACAGGGCATGTCTTTAGTCAACCAGGTCTTTCTTATGTCAACAACAGCCTCACAAACTACCAACAAACAAGCTGCACGTAAAAGAACTTAAATTTGACTATTCGCCAAGCAGCAGCAGTGGCGGCAGCAGTTGCATGTCAATAGTGCAACAACAGTCGCCTCCCACTCCAAGAATATAACTAAAATTACAAAAACTAAATAGTATTAAAATAAATATAATCAGTTGGCTCTTAGTAAAAAAGATCTTGGTAGATACTGAGTAGAGAAAAGCTGACTGCAGTTGTTGATGCCATAGCAGCAAAGAGTCAGACTGTAGTAGTCTGCTCACTGCTTACAGCTAGAACACGGAGTGACATCCTAAAGGAACCACTGAAATTTAGACTTTTCAAAGAGGGAATCCTCACAACATGTATTCAAGTGTACTTATACTTACTGATAGATTTAACAGAGACACACAGTTCAGTAATGAGCAGATAATTCATTACCTAAACCCAGTGCATAATTTGACTTGAGTTAATTTGACAAAAACAATGCAAAATCATATGAAATCTGAAGTTATGATCAAATTTGCCTCATAAACACACAGATATCCTACTTACTTTGGCCATGATCTTACAACACACCTACTCATCCGTTTAGAATTGTCTGGAAAGGCTACTACTTCCAATATTACACAAGCTGTAACGCACAACTGTTTAACTCGTCGTTATCTCGCTAAACATTTCACATTTAGATCCATTTGGAGTGAATTTCCCTGCAGGACACTCCGTAAGTCGCAGAGGTGTTAAGATGACCCTTGGAGCTTTTTCTGGACTCCACTGGAAAACGCCATCGCCTCGTTTCTCTCACCAACTTTGACCAACTTGGCGCAGGTTTTAGTTTTAGTTCGAGGCACAGAAAAGAGGATCGTACCTTACGCGCCGGTGGAGGCTGTCATGAGCTCCGTGGATCGGTCAGCGCTGGTTTGGTGTCGCCGCGGCCGCGTTCGTGCGCCTCGGGTCGGGGGGAATGAGGGAGGAATGCGCGGCGGGTCCACGGAGCGCAGTGAGCGGGAGGAGGGCGCAGGAGAGGCGGACATGTGGAGGGCGGTGCCGCGGCGGTGCACGGACGGTGATTGGTCCGCCAGGCCGCAGATCAAACCCCCACTCTGCCGTCAGCACGGGGCAGCGAATGTGCGGCTTACGAGCGCTACGAGGCGCGCGTAAACAACGGGAGATCTCGCATTGACGACCGCCGTCTACTGGAACGAACGCGTCAACTAAGCCGCCATCTTGGTACAGGGGAACACTGCTTTTAATGATAAGATTAGTCCTGGTTTAGTCTTGGTTGAGTCTGGGTTTATAAAGTTCTAGTTCAGATCTGGTGCAGTTCTGGTTTAGTCCTGGATTGGTCTTGGTTTGGTCTTGGTTTAGTCTAGTTTTAGTCCAGTTTCAGTCCTATTTTAGTCTAGTTTTGGTCCAGTTTCATTCCTGTTTTAGTCCTGGTACAGTCCTGGTTTAGTCCTAATTCAGTCCAGTTTTAATCCTGTTTTAGTCCCGGTTTAGTCCTGTTTCAGTCCGTTGTTACCGCTGTGTAAAATTTTACATTAGCCTGTGGATTCCCCGTACCAAGATGGCGGCGGTATCCACACATGCCCAGAGGCTGACCGCGACATCTAGAGTTGTGTATGTGAGGAAGAGGAGGCTGGAGCCGTGGGCCCCGCTGCTGCCGCCTTCACGGACCGCGCACGGAGGCCAGAGCGCGGAAACACGTGAGCGGCGGCGGAGGCACAAATCGATGGTGAAAATGAAACCCTCCGGAGCAGAGGAGATGATCACTGCGCGGAGATCAAGCACCGATCATTTCATTTAAGATGTGGCCACAAAAACGCACCAGTCCTCCCCTGTTCCATTGTAATTTCGTTAAATATCGCAACCATTACATCTCATCTATAACAGTGGACGACTTCATCTAATCAGATAATGCTACGTTTGATTTAAAACAGTGCCTCTCAAACTTTTTCCATGTTTCTACAATAAAAATCTACCACACCATGCTTTTTGCACGTTCTGACTGCCACACCAGATCTACACCGGGCCTTTATCATGCATCATGCTCATAAATTTGGGTTTAACGTGGTCTAACATAACATAATAGTCAACAGTGTACTATTTATGAATCATAACTAAAAATATTGTAAGTTCAGATAATATAAATGCTTCATATCACTAGAGTACATACTCTACTCACTGCTGCTGGTGATAGATTTGCAGATTTCTGTAAAATAATTACATGTGTAGTGTTGCCTCAGACATTTTTAAACAGTCTTAATTCCTCTGACCCGCTGGTATGAACTGGCTGCATACTTCTGGGGGTGATGTGGGGGTACAGTGTGGAGTTGGAGTGGTTCTGCCTGTGAGGGCCCTCTGCTGGTCTGTGCTCCCAGTTACTTCATAAAAGTGATTTCTGTGCTTCAGTCATGACGCATGTGGCAAAAGTCACACTTTCATTCAAGTGTGTTCAATGTTGTCCCTTTTGTGTACATTTGATAGAACGGTTTGTCTGAAAGTTTTACTTCCTCCTGATATTGCATAGTGATGTGTCCTTGAGCAAGACACTTCATCACATTGATTATGTAATGCAATTACAGGTAAAATTACACAATTTTCTCATGTATTCTGTCTTGTTTCCTCATCAAAAACAGACCTGGAGTTGTGTTTTGTTTCATTCACACATTTTTAACACAAACCCTGCACATTTAGACTTTGTTCCACTTTGTGATGTCACGTGGTAATGCAGGAAGTGCTCCACTGTGTTTTTTAAACTCCATACACCTTCACTATGATCATTTGGATCATTTCAGGCCTGGAATTGATATACTAAACAGAAGGTAAGGACATTATAAGGTAAACGAGAGCATTTTGCGCTTTGGAGACTAATAATAAAAGGTTTGGAGACTAATACTAAAGGTTTACTTGAACATGAATGAAACACAACTCTGGGTATGTTTTTGAGGAAGTAACAACATTATAACATGAATTAAAGCTCACAAGAATCCATTTTGTGTAATATAAGACATTTAAGCTGCTATAAATATCGATAAACGTTCTATATCCTTTAATAGTTCAATTTTTTTACTCTTCAGAAGTCTTTTTTTGTGATGAACATTTTGTGCTTTATCTCTCTGCAGGTTCCGGCAGTCGAGAAGTATCTAGAAAACCTGAAATCTCGGAGTGACCGTGAAGGCGGCGTGTTAAAGGGACGGTGACGCAGGAGGAAGCGGGTCACATGACAGGAAGCAGTGGGGAAGGCCAGCTCCATATAAGGACAAGCTCCATTCACGTTTTCACTGGGTTTGTTTCCCTGACGAGCGCCTCGGCTTCACTTCTGCTTTTTCAGCTTCTTCTGAGCAAACGGAAACATTGTATTAAGTCTCCTGCTATTTTTGGTGCATTACGCCTCCTATCCATGAGTTTCATAATGAGAAAAAATAGGACAATTACTGTAGTGATTCACAATTTAACACAAAATATTCTATTTTTTGAATTGGAAAAAGGCTTCAAAATGTTGTATGTAACAGAAAATTTAAACCCATGACTAAAACTAATAATACAGTTACATTTATTTCAGTTTTATATTGTAATATTACTCACCTTTTTGGTAAATTTCAGTTAATATTTACTTTTAAGACTGACAGAGCATGGAGCTGCCCACATTCCGACTTCTATTACACAAAAACGGACTCTTGTGAACTTTAAGTCATGTTCTAATGTTTCCTCCTCCAAAACAAACCTGGACGTGTGTTTTGTTTCATTCAGTTTGAGTCACTCTTTATTATTAGTCTGTTTATATCCCCAAAGCTCAAAACGCTCTGCCCCACCTTGTGATGTCATGAAGCGACAGTTTTCAAATGAACAGCTCCTTTGACCTTTAGTTCAGTGGAGATTGGAAATTCTAGATCCAGATGATTCTAGTGAAAGTGTGTGGAGTTTAAAAACACAGTGAAGCACTTCCTGTATTAACACATGACATCACAAGGTGGAACAGGGTGTTTTAGTGGAATATTAGTTTAGTGTTTCAGTGATGATAAAGATTGAACTGTAAACTAGAATAACAAGCAGACCCAAAATGGTAGCCACATGTATTCATTCCTATTTAAAAACACACAAATCATCTGACCCTCTTCTCTGCTCCTCTGACCCTCTCTGCTCCTCTGACCCCCTCCTCTACTCTTCTGACCCTCTCCTCTTCTGACCCTCTCCTCTGCTTCATCTGACGCTTTCCCCTTCTGACCCTCTCTGCTCCTCTGGCCCTCTCCTCTGTTCCTCTGACCTTCTCCTCTGACCCCCTCCTCTCCTCTTCTGACCCTCTCCTCTGCTCCTCTGACCCTCTGCTCTGACCCTCTGCTCTGACCCTCTCCTCTTCTGACCCTCTCCTCTGCTCCTCTGAACTTCTCCTCTGCTCCTCTGACCCTCTCCTCTGCTCCTCTGAACTTCTCCTCTGCTCCTCTGACCCTCTCCTCTGCTCCTCTGAACTTCTCCTCTGCTCCTCTGACCCTCTCCTTTGAATCCTCTGCTTCTCTGACCTTCACCTCTGCATCCTCTCCTCCCACACCAACTAACTCCATGTCCTCTTACATCACACATCTCTTCTCTGGCCTTCCATTGTTTCTTTTTTCTTTTCACATTCCTTTCTCTGAACGTGTCTGGACCATCTAAATCTGGACACATTTATTGACCAAACCATAACTATCCCTTTCATATGTTCATATATAAAAGCCCAAATGATTTTACTTACAGTATAAAGGTTAAAATACCTTCAGAAGGTGATGTTACGAGATCTTGAAAGTCTTCCAAAACACAACTCCAGTCTGTTTGTGATGAGGAAACAACATTAGAACAAATCAGAAAGTCTCTTAACTCGGGCCCTTTAATAAGAGTTGCATTCGACAATGTTTGGACAATGTTTTTTATTGCTGCTGAATGAATACTACTAATAATACTTCTCTAATGACTCCTCTACTACAACTGCTCAAACAAATGCCTTATAATGGATCTGTGTTATGTTGCTCTTTACAAGCCTGACAAGTTCACCACCAACCTGTAAACACATTCTGACAAGATGAGTAAAGTGTCTTGCCTGCGGACACAATGTCAGTATGTCATATTGGGAGATGGTATTTATTTACACACTTTAACAGCAAGTTACATAATATATGTACTACATGTCAGAGTGGTCCATCAAAGCATGGTGAAAAATGAAGATCCATAACCTCGATAACATAACCCTAACCCTGCATTAGATCTTAACATCCAAAAGATGATTTAGAAAGAACTTTAAAAGAAAAAGGACATGTGTGAGAGGTTGCTGAAGCTGCATGAAGTTTCTGCATGAAGTTTTGAAGCTCCTGCAGATGATTTGGTTCCTTAAGAAGCTTCACAGTCTGCAAATTCAGTGTGAAGAAAGCACCTGAACAGTTTTGGGCGACATCTTTGGTACTTGAGTGAAGAAATGTTTGTCCTGATATTCTTTACTCCAGTGTGACAGAAGAACAGAAGCTGATGCTTCATAATATTATGGAAAAGGAAAGTTCAGAGGTTCCACCAAAGCGACATGACAAAGCCCTTAATCAAACAGATTATGAAGAGAAGCAGATCAGTGATTTTGTCTCCACCAACACCATGCGTTTCTTCTTCTTCTTCTCTTGATCTGTCAAAAACATTTTGAACCGTTCCTGCAGCAGACTGGACTGATGATGAGACTTTCAGAAGCTGCTCAAACTGTGCATCCAGGAAAGTGTCCTGGTGCTGAAAGGAGGTGAAACTTATTCAAGATTTAAACTGTAGAAACTGTAGAACAAAGAATGAAGATCAGAAACGGGATCTACTGCAGGATTCAAAGATACAGGAGCATCTTTAGTGATGCCAAAAAAGCCACAGTGGAGCTGGACTTTATAAGTCTTTTTTATGCAAGTTTCAGTTTGTGTTTGCAGGATAAAATGACAAATTATTTGAATAGGCCTTATTTATTTGGTTCTTTGTTAGAGTTTAGGCCCTAAAAGGCAATTGTCAAGTGTCTTGAGCTCCTCTAAATATGAATTAATTGAACCACCCTACTAAAAGTCATAACTATGTGCATTTTTCTTTTGATACTCATGTTTTGCAGTTCTGATCTTTGTTTTTTTTGTTTTTTTTTTTGTTTTTTTTATTTATTTATTGGTCCTAGGCTTTTTTTAACAGCAGATTTTCATTGACCTTTTTATTGCTGAAAAATGTCCACAAGTCATCTTTGAGCCCTACATTTTTTATTTATTTTTTTAAAATAATGCACATGGATACAGATAGGGGGAAGGTGAAAACTGAAATTTTACAAAACTAACACTGAGTGAGGTAATTTGAGGGAACACGGCTCTATATAAATCAGAATTACACGTCCCCCACCCTGTCCCACACTGTCCTCACACTGTCCCACACTGTTTTGTGTCTCTTCCCTGTAGAGTGAGTGTCTCCCCTCCGACTGCTGTTCTGCTGAATCACCGAGACGCCATTAATCTTTAACCGGAGGGACCCAGATTTTGGCTGCGGTCCAGTGTGCACAGTAAGCTAAAATCTGAATACACCTTTTCACAGTTTTAGCCCAGATCTCCCCCATAAATAACAGAAATCAGTGCAGTTTAAGGTATATTTAGAGTGTAGAGCTCGGTTTGTTATTGTTTCAGTTCAGAGGTTAATGAACACTGGACAAAATGGTTGCATTGTTGCAGAAGGCAGAGAGTGTATCATGTGAGAACATGTGAGGAGCGTAAAACGGACAAACTACGACTGTATTTCAGAAAAGATCACTCTACAGTACATCAGTCTACACTAAAACAATTCAATATTGACTCAAAGTTAATGTGCTGTATAAGTGCTGTATAATTAGGGCGACTCCAGCTTTACACTAATGGATTCTTGTTCACCCAATTAAACCTTAACCCTTTATCTTTGCCCTCTTATATTTCACATTTCCCATGCAAATTCAGATTCAGATAATATAATGTAACTTTTTCCATCTTATTTTATGTTTGTAGTAAATTAAACTTAAAATTGTTACGTATAATAAACCAAAACCATTACAGTAACAGTTAAATACTAATAAACATGTAACTTTGCCTGAAGTGTTCCTCTGAACATTTTATATTCAATCACAGTTGTTCTTATTGCTTCAATATTCCCCACTCTGCAAATATTACCACATCTTAAACTAATGTGTGACCAGTGTATGTGTGTTATTTATCAGTAAAATAGTGAGTACTTTGCAGTTGCCAAAAGTGCATGAGTCTCAGTTATATAGTCTCTGTGCTGCATGTCCTTCCACTTGTACTCATCCTTATACCATTACAAAAGTGGCAATGTGGGTGAAATGTCTTGCTGAAGGACCCAATGGCAATTCATAGACGGTACTGAAAAAAACACCACCCCTCTCTGTGTAACTGCAGCCATCAGGCTCCTCATTTTGGTCTTAAAATGTTCATATTGACTCGTTCTACATGATCCTGATGTTTTTATTTCACTATTTTGTCCATAAATCTATTCCTAATACAAAAGCTGGCTACAAATTCACCCCTATAACTGCCGACCTCTGTGAGCTTCATTTGACTGGAGCCGAACACTAGTGGTGCCGTCAAAGTTAGAAGTGGACTATATATATATAGTTCACGCCACCAGCTGTTACTGCACAACTGTCTCCCTGAAGTTCACAGAAAACTATTATTTCACATAAACTTATCTTAACTAAATATAAACACATAATATTCATACAGGACCTCGGAGCATTGTAAGCATCAAATATAAAACTATTTAATGTTTCTTCCCATTTTTCTGGATAATCACCAATTGGCACCACCCATCCTCCACCCTCCTCCGACCTGACTTCACCTCGAGCTGATTCACAATTGGATTAACAGCAGACTTAAGTCACATGGATAAAATCCATCAAACTTTCCTTTTGAAAAAGTGACCACACGGTTAATATTTGCACCTTTTATTATAAAAAATATTTACAAAGATGCTGCAATGTTTTTCCTTAATATAAAAAATGCATACATTATACAACAGTAATTAAAGTCTTTGAAGATCTAGCTCCCATTCAGACCATATGACATCCTTCAGGAGTGTAGCGGTAAGGTCAAGCGTGTCGTAATACTGTATTCTCGTCAATACATTGAGTTTGCCTGAGTTTAATCTCTTCATCACAATAATAAGGAACAATTTAGAGTTTTCCACATCTTTAGGAGAAAGGCAACTGTTTGCATAAAGGAGTTTTTATACAATCATTTTGAATTGACAGAGCTGCATAGTGAATTGGTAGTAACCCGGTTATTTTTACTCAAAACAAACGTGATGAATAAATAGGTACTGCATTCAAAAACAGAGGGCTGAATTCGTTTCAATGGGCCTCGTGGGTGTTTTCGGAATATGGCAAAGCGTGTACCTAGATAGAATAAATACAATAAATAAACAATAAATTAGACGGGTTTAAACACAGTCTTCATTTGTCGTTCGCACAAATGAGAGAAAGAAATATGGCTTGGATGCAGTTATCACCTGGGTGTCTCCGAAATGTAAAATGTGTCAGTTTGTGAAGAGCAGGACCGAACCCAGACCCGCTCCATAAAGCTCCAACGTAAAACCAAACAGCGCCATAGAAAATGTGCCGTGCCACAGAAGACACTTACCAAACCGTGGGAAGACACTGTCTCGAGTCTGGCTACATTAAAATCTTAAAAACCACCTGGCAGGGAACAAAATAAGAATATCAAATGATACTTGCAAAATCCCCCAGCTGTATAATGCAAAAAAATATATTTCTATATACATTTACGTACATATACATAGAATCCATTCATAATTGCTCAAATCTTTAGGAAAATATGCATTGATTCATAGATTTGGATTTACAATTTGTTCTGTGTCGGATGTAGTGTAAATTGTTCCTCAGTTCATGTAACAATAAATAGAGACAGACAGAAAGGCAGAGTCCCGCAGGACGAGTATGAGAGAGATACGAGACGTAAACATGAAAACAAATACAGGTTCAGGTCTGACTGTAATTATCTGCGCCTTTTGGATCCAATGACAATGTAGGAAACTAACTGACCCAAAGGCCTCTGTGCAGGGCTGGGCGAAACCATTAAGGCTTAAAACATTTAAAATCTCTATCTAATTTTATATCATGACTATGTGTAAACTTCATGAAGGCGTTCAAAGGATAAACCGTTTACAATGTCGTCTGCAGAGATATGCAAATAATTCTGCTTTAAAATGTTTCATCTTTATATAAATGTTTACTCTGTAAGAAATTTGAGGTTCAATGCAGCTGTTGCATTTGCAAGTGCTGTCTCTGCGTTTGCATATTGCACATACACAGTGAGATTCTATCCAAATGTCTGACCAGGTTTTTGTATAAACCACAAAACAGTAAGAATTTCATCTTGGCCCAGCCGCACTGCGTGTGTGAATAATGAGAGCTACCTGCCTGGTACACATGTGAAGAAAGGCCTTGTGTGGAGACTAACCTCGGCTCTCAGAGCCAAATCTCTCAGTTAATTTCCCACTTTGTCTCCAAACTGACATCTGTAACATGAGTCTATGAGGCCTCAGCAGGGGCCCTCAGGAGCCCACTATGATCTCCATGATGTGGTCCAGTTCATTGAGGTCCGAGCGACAGCTGTTTGTGGAGCTGAGCGCAGGGCTGTGGGACAGAGACTCCAGCAGGTCGTAGGGGCCCATCTTTGGGCTTTGCATCAGCACCGTGTCCAGGTCGTAGTAGGACGGGTCCACGTCTGAGAACAGCTCCTCCAGCGCCGGGTCGGCAGGAGGTTGCTTTATCTCAAAAGTCCCAAAAACCTGCTCCGTCCTGGGCTCTTCCTCTGGCTCAGACACGCTCTCCTCACTGTCCTCCTCATCCTCCGCCTCCTCCTCCTCGTCCCACGACGAGCTAAAAGGCCCCAGGTATGTGGCCCCGCCCAGCTGAGGGCTGGAGGCCGCCGGGCTGTCCTCCTCCATCACCACCTCCTCCTGATAGCCCTCCTCCTGGAGGCTGTGCTCCAGGGCAGAGGGCACAGGTTTGGGGCTCTGTGCGGCCGGGTCCTGCCTGCAGAGCACCTCACTGGCCACTAGTCTGTCCGAGGGACACTGGGACAGGGCCTGGGTCATGATCTGCCAGGTGCCGTCCTGGGTCATCTCCTCCTGGATCTGCCTCACCGTGTTGGCGATCAGCACCGAGCGGCACAGGTTGGGCTCCACCAGCATGTGGCACAGCTGCAGTTTGATGAGGGACATGTCCAGCAGAGACTGTCTCTGGAGGCTGTAGGCAGAAGACAGCGCTCGGGCTGTGGTGGGCCCGGGAGCCTCGCTGGGGGCTGCCTCCTCTCCGTCTGAGAACTTACGCTTGGTGCCCTTCGGGAACATGGTGTGTGTCTGCGACATGAGAGAAAGAGACAGTTAGAAACAAAGCTACACTGTGGGACATTTCACACAGACAAACACAGTGTGAGTACAGCTAGTGAAGCAGTAAGTGCCATGTAATTAATAATGTAATGTGACATAATGAGGCTATGTGTGCACTATTTCTGTTTCAACATTGACTGCACAGGTTTAAAGTTATAGGAGCATTGTTCTCATTCTGAGATGCCACAGGCAAAACACAGAAGTGTCTAAACAAGGCTACACTCTGGTTTGGAGGAGCACAGCCGAGCACCGGATCACAAAGAAAAACATGTCAACCAGTGACTGGAACTGAGCTTTTTATTTGATAAATTCAATCACCACCAGTGCTGAGCCTTGTACTGATATATATTTGAAATATAAATAATATTTTGAACATGGTTAAAACTGCAGTAAGGTCGTTTTGTGTATGACGTGTGTGTACTCCCCCTAGAGGCCAGAAATTGGGCAAATGCCAAACTAAACATTTATAAATAGACAATTATTCAAGTGTGTTTCTCCAATCCAGAGTGACAGTATATTGAGATAAAAACAGTAAGTGCCTCTCTATGACAATGCTTCCTAGCCCTTTAAACTCTACACATGTGTGTGACTAAACAGAGTAAAGTGAATTTGTTGCTTTTCTTAAAGTTTGCTATACCTTTCCTTTTGAGAGGCACAGGCATTAGCATAGCAGCTTGGTCCCGACTGCGTCAATGCTTCAAGTACTTTTGTTTGAGCGACAAGCGGCTTTAGTTCAGCACCATTTCTGCCCATTTTAGGCCAGTCTCAGGCAAGACTCCTGCTGGGCGGAACAACCACACTTTTAACAGACCACTGAGCCACCCAAAATAGCACAACTAAATGCAACGCGGCATCAAAGTTAAGACAGACTAGATAGAAAGACCAAGTTAAAAACAACAAAAACACAATCATTGTTTCCAACTGCCACCTGTGATTAAAAATAGTCCAACAAATCAGTAAAAAGTGCTTTTACAAGGAAAAGGTGACAATAAGAAAGAAGTTACATTCAGGAAACAATACACCTCCGTTATCCACTGGCTTCTACAACATGGATCAGGTTACTCAGTCTACGCACGGCACGCTTCAAAACTAGTAGAACCAGATTTTCACTCTTTTCACTGGGGAAGGGAAGAAAATGGTGTCAACTTCCTTATAACACACCACTTTAAAAACACATGTCTTTAGTGGAATAAAAAACAACGGTGCCAGCATTTGAGGCCATCTGACTTGTCCAAAAATAGCCTGATGCGAGTAAATACAGAGCTTTGAACAGTGGCCTGTGGCATTTCATTTTCCATTAGACAGATAAAGGGAGCGAGTGTCCGGCTGCGTCTCCTCTGTAAAACCTGTGGGCGGGGCTTCGGCTCAATGAGCACTCTGTTTCAGGTCTCTATTTTTAAAAAGGCATCACAAAATGGAGAAAAATACACAGTGAACAGAGTACACGTCTGACTGTACTGCCCCATTCTGCCACAGTACAGTAAGTACAGCACTTTAACCTGGGCATTTCACCCTCCCACACAACAGGAAGTAAAGCAGTTTAACCTGGGCATTTCACCCTGTTACAACATGAACCATTTCTGATTACCCCAAATTAAAACCAAACACTTTTAAACTTGACGAGCGCTGGTGAAATAGCAAAGAGAACCTGGCAAACACAATTTTAAAAGGATTAACAAAAAATATTTACGTCTTGTTCAACACTGTTTGGTTGTCATTTACTAAAAAAAAAAACTAAATGAATAAAAAAAAAAAACAGACGTGTCCTCATAGTGGAGAGGCTTACAGTTCCCCTACTGGGCATTTTGAAAACCACGGCCATTTACTTGAATTTAGCACACTTCTTCATACCTTTGTGTCTTGGGTCTCATTTGTTTAAACTGCATCATTTTATTGGTTGTTCTTTCCTAGATGTCTTAATTTAAAACAAAAGGTTTATTCAGAAACAAAAACACAGTTTTCTGTTCCCCGTAGTTACTGCTCTTTAGTCCTGGGGCAGTGTTTTACACTCCAATTTACAAAAATGTGACAAAAATCAAACTAACATTATTGCACTAAGCCTCATCACGTCTTATAGGAGCGTACAGAGATGTCACTGCCAAACCCAATGCAATCATTACAAATGACATTACAGTGAACACATTTTTACAACCAGCTCAAAACACCAAAATGCCTTACAATGATCAACATTGTACAAATAGAAAAATGGTGTCCAATTTATGAATTAAAACTGAACAAAAATGATCTGAACCTGAACAGATTTGTGGGAATATAAAAAGTCAGAGCCTATTGTTAGAGCGGAGCCCGTGAGTCCTGGTTTGCATAGAGTTACGGTTCCTGACAGTGGACAGAATAGAGGGGAAAAGTCATTTTTCAAAAGCCATGGCGCCTGGAGATCTAAAATACAAAAGATGAGAAAACAATTATAGTCGAATGGTATCCTCATTGTGTAGTGTGGCCTGTTGAATAAGACAGCACTATCTCCCTGAAGACAAGACAAGCACAAAATCAGACAAATGAGTCAAGAAAATGTACAATATCGGGAAAAGATTATGTTAAAATCTCACAAAATTCACTTTACATGGAAATAAATGGGACATGATGTAGGCCCGTTATTTATTTAGGTAAGTTACTTCATTTTCAGACATCAATAAGGACTAAAGGGGCTGTGGTTTCGCTTTGATTGGGTCGCAGTTGAACCAGACAAACATTGCGTCTCGTGTCTCGCGGATGATGCAACTAAACCACTGAATACTGCAAGACGTGTAGAGGTTATGGTCCTGTACTGAGGTTTGAGCATCTCGGCAAACTCCATTCATTTAGTTTAAAGGGCCCTGATTACGCTGTTTTCAAATCTAGGTTATAATGTTGTTTCCTCTTCACACACAGGCCTGGAGTTGTGTTTTGTTTCATTCACATGTTTAACACACAAACCCTGAGTTTTTCTCTCCAACTGAAAACACACTGTTCAACCTTGTGATGTGATGTGGTGATACAGGAAGCGCTCCATTGTGTTTTTAAACTCCATACACCTTCACTAGAATCATTTGGATCATTTCAGCTCTGGAATTGCCAATTTCTACCCAACTAAAAAGTAAAAGGAGCTGTTCACTTCACCTACACTTTCATGACATCATGAGGTGGAACAGAGCATTTTGATCTTTGGAGATGTAGACAGACTAATAATAAAGAGTTACATGTGTGCATGAAACAAAACACAACTCCAGGTATGTTTTGATGAGATAACATTAGGTTTTAAAGCTCATACAAATCCATTTTGTGTACAAATTTTCTGTTACTTACCCATAGGAAGTTTTACAAAGATTAGCTCTAAACTTCAACCATCTCAGTTTTAGAAGTAACTGAAATGCTATCCTAAATGTCAACCGTACCATACATCAACACATTGATGTAAGATTATCTAAACAATATTTATACTATATACCATTTGCACTCCATTAAGACTGATGCTAAACCTTAAAAATGTGGATAGACAGCATGCAAAGGCAGTCAATCAAGTCTCCCATAACAATAGAAACCTGCTCTAGTTAGAATAGAAAGAATAGAAGGTGGCTAAATAAAACAATTGTAAACACTGAAAAAGACCATTTAAAAACTACATCTCACTTGGTTTCATATTCTGTACCAAATTATAAATGTATAAATGGATAGAATCACAAAATTCTAATACCTTGTTATGCATATTAGATTTTTATTATTTAAAAAGGTCCTATATCACACAAAATGGACTCTTGTGAGCTTTTCATTCAAATATGTTTGAGTAACCCTTTATTATTACTCTGCCTACATCTCCAATTCCAGATCTGTGTTAATGAAACAAAAACTGAACTCTAGGCATGTTTGTGATGAGAAAACAACATTAAAAACCTGAAAATAACGTAATATAGGCACTTTAACTACTAACTAATACTGGGTAACAGGTTTCAAAGCTTAAATTAATTTTCGCTCCCTGACGCCTCTGTGGCAGTTGCAACATTTTCTACATTAAATATTCATAACTCACAGTGACGGTGCACGACTCCAATCATTCCTAATCTGACAGTTAAATAAATTGTCACCATGATAAGAACAATAGTTACAGAGTAGACTTCATAAGGTGTTTTTTTTTTCCACCATAAACCACTCATTACAAGCAAAGTGCAGCTCTTTCCTGTAAAAATGCAAGGTTATAGGATTTAGCAAGTGACATTTAAAAAGAGGGTTCAACACACAAAGCAGGAAGTGACTAACACAGAGCAAGTCAATGCAAAACTAGAAATGAAACTAAAGTGCATCTGTTTACCACTATATTAGCGATGGCCACGCACTATTTGTTTACAAGAAAGAAAAGCAAAGTATTAACAAAGTATGACTGGAAATGGAATGACTAATATAAGGAAAGCTGAACGTGTAGCAGTCAAGTCGATGTAAAATACCTTCTTTGAGGTTTATGGGTTTCATAAGCATATTTTATATTTTTCAGTCAGACACAATGGGTTTCATTATTGCTAATCCATCTGTGTTTATTACAATAGATTTCATGTTTATTTTGTACACCCCATGTCCAATTGGCAAATGTTAGGCTATATTAAGTTATAAATTGGTTTAGTACTGATTTAAATTCATTACTGATAGATGCCAGTTGACTCCCACATTGAAACAGCAGACAGGAGCAAGGTCATACAGACAAAATCAGTATAAAAAACAAAATAAAACATACGGTTACCTCAAATGTATTGTCTATACATGCAGGCTTAAAATCTGATGATTTCTGAATCAGACTTCTGCACAAAAATGCCTGTACAAGTTAGTATATTAAACTGAACCACACATTTTGTTTGCAGAGTTACTTGAATTTTGTAGAAAGCACAGTTAAGCTAATGTGGAAGCCTAATTGCAATAGCCAAGCAACAACAGTAGCTTGTATGAAAGCTCCTGTTTACTACTTCAACCTGGGAGCATGCTTAGGGTGACCAGAATTTCAAAATAAAAAACTGGGACATCCCTAATTTTTGGTGTTTGGTAGTAATAAAACTGCAAAAGGAGCACACAATTAAGGAAAGTTGTTCAGCACTCAGCCCAGTCAGGAGTAATGTGATAGTCAGTATAGTCACATTTTTCTTGTGTTTGTCATTTTTAAGCAGAACAGATGACAAAAGATGACAATATAAGCCTCTCTGTATTGTTTGACAGGGATCAAATCGGGCCAAATAGGGACGGACACCTGGGACATTTCTTGTGTAAGACTGGGATAAATCAGTGGTTTTGAACACATCTGCAGGAACTGGGGACACTCAAAATTGGGACTGTCCCGATTAAACGGGGATGTCTGACCACCCTAAGCATGCTGGCTACGGTTTAAAACAGGACAAGAAATACATGTCTAAGAATTTAAGAGCCCAAATCAAAACCAGACCATTTAAATTAAAAAGAAAAACCGTGCTAATCTTGGTCAAAAATTACACTACTAATTAAGTAGTTTGAGGTTTATAAAAGTAAAATATAGAGATAAACAAAGGTGCTAGCTCCAGCCTCAGAGAGCAGCTGTGAGCCTGAAACCAAACAAAATGCAGTCTCGCTTTACGTCAATGGCTGCTCGCTCCCATCGGGCCCATCCCCCACCGCTACACTTTCTCGCTTTTCGAAATGAACAAATAAAGTCAAACCCCGCCACATTTGAGCCCCACACAGGTGTAATTGTAGTAAACATGGACAAGTCCGCTTTAATGCGCCATCCCGGCGAAGTGTAGCGGGTTTAAAGAGCGTTTCTAGCCGCTCGCCGTGACTGCCGCATGCTTTG